AGATAGATAGATAGATAGATAGATAGATAGATAGATAGATAGATAGATAGATAGATAGATAGATAGATAGGCAGGGAGGCAGGGAGGCAGGCAGATATATATGGATAAATGAGAGAGAGAGAGAGAGACAGAGAGAGACAGAGAAAGAGAGAAAGAAGATAAGATAAAGGTGATTACAGATGTATAAGTATATGTTTATGTATCTATATATATATGTGTGTGTGTGTGTTTGTGTCTGTATGTATACATATAAGAAGTCCTCATAATGCTTAGAACAAAAACTGAGGTGTAAAAGAATCCCCATGAACAAAAATATCACACACGCAAAAATGTAATTTTTTTTCCAGTTGGGGACGTGTTATAAATCTCGGTGTTTGAATTATGAAGTCAGACTAAGAGCTGGCATCCTTTGCAGCTGGTGATATAGTTCTATGTTCCATCATTAATAATATTAATGCTTCTGCTCAAAATGATCAAATTCTTTGTTTAAGGGAGGTGAATTAGCTCCAAATGGAAGCATTTTCCTGGGGATGGTTCAAATGGCATATGAGTGCAGAGTATTATTATTATTTTTCCCTTCTTTTTCTATATCGTTTGCACAGAGGACATATTATGTTTGATCTAATTCAGTCGGCCCAGCCTCGAGTAATTAAGTCAGATGTTTTTAATTAAATCAAAGGAGGTTATGAATTGAATCCCCTTTAATGCAATTAAGCAGAAAAGCATGAGAGGCATACCAAAGAATATTTGGATATATATATATTTTTTTGGGGGGGGGGGGGATGAAAAAAATCTCGTGGCTGTCTTTACTCAGCTTAATAAGCCATAAAAGCTGGCTTTTAAGAACACGGAGCACTCCAGAAACTGACAGTCCCAGTTGCATAAGGGTGTAATTGACTCAAAAAGCCCCTTTAGATCAGTTGCTTTCGTATCGTGGCCAGTGCTGGGATTCAAATTTTTTTTACTAATTCGTTTTTTTCACTTTCTGTGGGTGTGGCTTGGTGGGCGTGGCATGGCTTGGTGGGCATAGCCGGGGAAGGATACTGCACAAGCCCCATTCCCTCTCCACCCCACTAACCTGCTTTCCAGCACCGTTCTCCTGTGCAGGGCAACAAAAGAAGACCCAGCCGATCAGCTGGGACTCAATGGGAGGCGGAGAAGAGATGGGGGCGGGGCCAGTCAGAGGCGGTATTTGCCGGTTCTCTGAACTACTCAAAATTTCCGCTACCGGTTCTCCGGAACCTGTCAGAACCGGCTGAATACCACCTCTGATTGTGGCTTAAAGCCAGCTTCTGATTCTAGTTTGTTTGGGGGCAAGTTAACCACAATGGCAGGTGCTGGGTTCACCGTAGCTTCATGCTTTTAATTTCATTTTAAATTGTATTTTATCCAATTCCATTTTAAATAGACTTTTAACACATTTTAGTAATAATCTGTTTCTGGAACTTTGCACTTTGATATGGCCCAGGGGCTAATCAATCAATAAAGAATTGGAATTTACTTTCTCATCAGTAGAAGCAGCCCTCCACTTACAACAGTTCACTGGGCAACCGTTGGAAGTTACAACGGCACTGAAACCAGTGACCGTTTTTCATACTTATGACCATCGCAGCATCCTCATGGTTACGTGATGCTTGGTAACAGGTTCATATTTGTGACGGTTGCAGTCTCCCAGGGTCCTGTGATCACCTGCACAGGTAGTTCTCGACTTAGGGCCACAGTTGAGCCCAAAATCTGACTCCTCCCCCCTTTGGATTTTGCTTGTCAGGGTCACAAAAGGGGAGAAATCACAGGACCCCAGGACACACTCTGTCCATCAATAAATGAAATGAGTGCTCTCTGAGATTGGTGGTTTTCTTGCAGACATTTCATGACCCAGATAGGTAACTTCATCAGTGCTAGAAGGAGTGGCTCCTTGAACCCTCTGAATGGTTGTAAGTCGAGGAATGCCTGTATTGTAGGGATGTTATTTGGCAATAGCCTTGTGCTTGTGTTGTTTTCTACTTTTGGCTTATCCAAAAGTAGAGATGATTCCTTTGTTGATTCGTATCTTGGATGACCGAACACTCGTTTCTCCATCGCTGAATTGTCGGTTGTGTGTCTCTCGCTCTGTGTCTGTTCCAGGTGGCGGAAATGCATGGGGAACTGATCGAGTTCAACGAACGCCTCCATCGTGCCTTGATGGCCAAAGAAGCCCTGGTGACTCAGATGAGACAAGAACTGATCGATCTGAGAGGACCGGTAATCATATTTTTTAAAAAAACAATTAAATAATCAGCATCCCTACCCTCCTTGGCAATGTGCAGCGGGGCACGGGAGAGGAGAAAAGGGAAAAAAATAGACCTCCACTTGCCACCATCCACTTAATACCCATTCTAAATTAACAACGGTGATGAAAACAGTTGACATGCAAACCCAGGTCTCACGCTTACAGATGACACAGGGTCCTCGTGTTCGTGTGATCAAAATTCAGGTGCTTGGCAACTGTATACACACACAGACACAGACACACAGACACACACACATACTTATATACCGGTTCCCAGTGCTCTGCAGCCCCCTCTAAGCAATTTACAGAGTCAACCTATTTTCCCCCAACAATCTGGCTCCTCATTTTACCCACCTCGGAAGGATGGAAGGCTGACTCAACCTTGAGCCGGTTAGGATCGAACTCCTGGCATTTGGCAGATTTCGTCTGCAATACTGCATTCTAACCACTGCACACCATGGAAGGGAGGGAGGGAGGGAGGGAGGGAGGGAGGAAGGAAGGAAGGAAGGAAGGAAGGAAGGAAGGAAGGAAGGAAGGAAGGAAGGAAGGAAGGAAGGAAGGACGGACAACAGTAATAGCCCTTAGACTTATATACCACTTCCCAGTGCTTTACAGCCCTCTCTAAGTAGTTTACAGAATCAGCCTTTTGCCCCCCAACAATCTGGCTCCTCATTTTACCCACCTCGGAAGGATGGAAGGCTGACTCAACCTTGAGCCGGTTGGGATCGAACTCCTGGCAGTGGGCAGACTTAGTCTGCAATGTTGCATTCTACCCACTGCACACCATGGAAGGGAGAGAGGGCAATAGCAATAGCCCTTAGACTTATATACCGCTTCACAGTGCTTTTACAGCCCTAAGCGGTTCAGCCTGTAAACCCCAACCACCTGAGTCCTCATTTTACCGACCTTGGGAGGACAGAAGGCTGAGTCAACCTCAAGCCTATTTCGGGCAAAGCGAAAGGAAACTCGATTGGAGAAGCCAACGTCTTGCTTCCGAAGTCTCGCACTCCATGAAACGGAGAGCTATTTGGTTTGCAAATCCTAACGCCTGCTGTAGCCTTATGTTTATCTCGCCCGTAAGATTCTGCTCTGAAATTTATAGCCAGCAGGACTTCAATTAAACTCTTGTCCACCCCAATGTACCGGCAAGGCATGTAATAAAGAATTTCTGCCACCAAATTATTTTATATGGCGCCATTATTGCGAAGGACATGGTCCCCTTGTGCCTCATTATCATCCTGCAATTACTTCCCTTTCAATAGCCCGTTTTGCTTCTTCAGAACATCAAGGACTCAACATATCAGCTCGGCGCACATTCACAAGTCTAGAAAACTGCTCGGGGGGTCAAGAGAAATGGAAGCCTTTTCTCCTTTTATTCCTCCCCCCGCCCCAAAAAAATGGTTACATCCAGCAATCAGATCAGGGTGGTTTAATTCTCAATTTGTCCTGTGCCACCACTGGCACTATACAGCCTATCCTTGACTTACATCCATTCGTTCAGTGACCGTTCAAAGTTACAACGGCCCTGAAACAAAAAAAGAGGTGACTTACGACTGTTTTTCACCCTTACGACCGTTTATAGCATCCCCATGGTCCCGTGATTGAAATTCAGACGCGTTCTCAGAGTTCAAAGATTGATCAGGAGTGAATATTGATGATATTTCCCGACAGTTAGAATAATTAATCGGTGGGACGGCTTCCCCCTGGAAGTTGTGAGTGCCCCATCAATGGACGTTTTTAAGAAGAGTCTGGGCAGCCATTTGTCTGGGAGGGAATAGGATCTTCTGCTAGAGGAAAGGGTTGGACTAGAAGACCTCCAAGGTCCCTTCCAACTCTGTTATTCCATTCTGTTAATTTGTCCCACGCCCCGAGCCGAAATGTGAACTCTGTATTTTTATCCCTTCTGCTCATCAAGCACACTCCACTTTCAAATATATTTGAAAAGATAAGCGCATCCAGTTTTAGAGAGAGACGCTGAATAATAAGCACTATATATCAGTATAACGTCTTTACAGTTTTCAAAGCATGAAGGGGAATTGGGATAGATTGTGTGGGGACTCCATTCCCCCTGCCACTTTGAATAAGCCACACACGCAGCAAAACCAGATTTTAAAAATCTTCCTTGGCTTTCAGGCCCTAACACCATAAAGACTAAAAAACGTTTCCTGGCATTTCTAACCTCTTTAGAGGCCCTCTTTCAAGATATTGCATAAAGGGGAAGAAAAGAGAGTGCTATAAAACCTGTCCCTTCGTGAATCACCGCGTTCACTTTGGGGTGCGTGTAAATCATCGTTATTTTTTAAAGGGATTGTAAAGGGGAAGAAAAGGCTTTGAGTCCCTTTGAAAGGCTGCACAAAATATGAATCCCGTTCATGTATAAATTCTAAGCCATAAAGGGCTTTGAGGTTTCTTCTGCTTGTGGCTTGACATTTTGGGTGGATTTTGCGACTTTGCGCAACAGTGGTCCAAAAGATTCCTGTTGTGGCCAGCCAGTGGCCAGCGGAACTGGGGGCAGACTCGGACAGCGAGGAGGTTGGGAAGGAACATGGGCCGGTCCTGGAATCTGGGGAAGGCTCTGATGAGTGCTGGGGAGGCAGAGATGAGGCCAGGGCCGTCTGACAGTTGTCAGCTGCCTTTGGATTTGGACATCAGTGAGGCAGAAGAACAGCCGGAGCCTGTTCCCAGTGTGCGCATGCACAGAGCCGCCAGGAGAAGGGAACAGTTAAGGAACAAGTGTTGACTCTGGAGTAAGGACACAGGTGGACGGTGAAGGGCCCCTCCCCTAGGGAATAAAGAGGAGCAAAAGGGGAGTGGTGTTTGCAGGAGACAATTTGTTCATTTAATTAGGGTGAAGATTTGTTCACAGAGACTCCTTGCCAAGTATTTTCTTGTACAGCGTGGCGTTTGGGAGATTTTGGCCTGGCAGATCTCCAAGTCTGATGAAGGTCTGTGATTGTAAATCACTCTTGAAAGACTTTTTGCCGGGACTTTGCTGGATGTGAATGAGAGGAATTCACCTTAAGTCAAAATAAAAAGGGGTTTTGTAGGGATGACGAGTCTGCTTCATGATTTTGGTGAGGCCTAGGTCAGAACAATTCCTGCCTTAGTGTGATGCACAAATTGGAACCTTATATTCCAACAGTTGCAAATACAGCCTGCATTTAAAAGTGAGGACAGAACATATTCTTTTGTGAACAATGTGCCAAGCCAGTTTTTGTAGTATCTGAATCATCATTACATTTCAGGGGTCTAATTTTTATACAGATAGTCCTCGACTTAACAATAGTTTGTTTAGTGACAGTTCAAAGTTACAATGGCATGGGGAAAAAAGTGTGTTATGTCCATTTTTCAGACTTACAACCATTGTAGCCTTCTCGTGGCCCAGCTGATTAGAATTCAAACCCTTGGCAACTGACTCGTATTTATGACCGTTGCAAGGTCCCAGGGTCACGGGATTCCCCCCTTTTACGACCTCCTGACAAGCAAAATCCACGGAGAAGACAAATTCACATAACAATCCTCTAACTAACTTAACCCCTGCAACAGAGGTGGTGTTCAACCAATTCTGACCGGTTCTGGAGAACCGCTAGTGGAAATTTAAGTAGTTTGGAGAACTGGCAAATGCCACCTCTGGCTGGTCCCGCCCCCCATCTCTTCTCCACCTCCCGAGTCCCAGCTGGGTCTCCTTTGGTTGCCCTGCACAGGAGAACGGAGCTGGAAAGCAGGTTAGTGGGGTGGGCAGGGAATGGGGATTTTGCAGTATATCTTTCCCCTGCCACGCCCCCCCAATCCACGCCCACAGAATCGGTAGTAAAGAAATTTGAACCCCACCATTGCCCCGCGGCGATTCACTTAACAACGGTGGCAAGAAAGGTCGTGAAATCGGTTGTGGCTCATTTAGCAACCACCTCGCTTAAGCAGTAGAAATTCAGGTCTTCGTTGCGTAGGCTGAGAGATTACTTGCACACATTCCTTTTCCTTCCTCAGTCAGAAATGTGGAATTCATAACGGATGGGCCTGTTGATATTTTTGTTTCACAAAAGCGAAGGACTTTCCAGACAACTTCGTTTTGTTTAACCGTTGGTGATGAGAGGTCACTTCTCTTCAGTCTGTAAAGTGGCCTATTGTTTTTATTGACATTTTAAAAGCTGGCTTATTTATCCCTTAGCGGTTCCAAAGCCAATCTATTTAGTAAGAGCAGTGAGGGTTTTATATAAAAAAACAGAATAAAATCTTTTTTTTTTTTTTTAAATCAAGCTGAACTGAAACTGAAAAGGGGCTTTCGAAATAACCTCTCTGTGCCAAATTTGTTCCGCTAAGTGTTGGAAATTATACATGCTGTCAGCGAATCCATCTCTCTCTGCCTCTGTGCGTGTTTGGATGTGTACGTGCATAAAGGAAAGGGAGAGAGGAAAACACATAAAATTTTACATACCCCAGCTGTGTGTCCTTCCTTCATCACACCCAGAAATTGGCAAGCAGGCAGGCAGGTAGGTAGGTTTAAGGCCGGGGAGCGGAAAAAGAAGATGAAATTCGAGGCTTAATGGACCTCTTTTGTGATGATGAGTGAACCCAGGTGTAAAGCAAATACATCTCAAATTAAAGTTGGAATTGGTACTATGTGCCTTGTCAAGAAAGTTGGTGCAAGGATTAAATCACCGTCCAACATTCCCTAGAGGGCAACAGGCTGCTGATTCGTAAATTAAAAGATAGGATTCCTTCATGCTTGTTATTCCTGCCTGCCCCCCCGTCTACCCCCGGGCCAGAAATGTACCGAATTCGCAGTTCTCTCGTGCAAAAAAATAGAAGCGTTTACATGAATTTGATCTGTGTTTTTCCCGTCCATCGCTCTCTGGATGATATTGGGCAACAAAGATATCAGGTAGTCCTCGACTTAACGACTGGCACAGAGTGGTAAAATAGGTTAGTCATGGGACTGCAGGGGCTGACTGTAGGAACTTCAAATCCAGGTTATACCTAGCCTCAATGGATTGGTCCACTGTGATTTTGAACGGTGGCTAAACTACAAGTCTAGAGTGGAGTGGAGTGGAGTGGAATAGAAATAGAATGGAACGGAATGGAACAGAACAGAACAGAACAGAACAGAACAGAATAGAAATAGGAATAGAATAGAGTAGAGTAGAGTAGAATAGAATAGAATCCTTTATTGGCCAAGGGTGATTGGACACACAAGGAATTTGTCTTGGTGCAAATGCTCTCAGTGTCCATAAAAGAAAAGATACATCTGTCAAGAGTCAAGAGTCACAAGGTACAACACTTAATAATAGTCATAGGGTACAATAAGGGTCAATATAAATCATAAGGATACAAGCGACAAAGTTACAGTCATACAGTCACAAGTGGGAGGGGATGGGTGATAAGGAGTGATGAGAAGATTAATAGTAATAATAAATGCGGACTATTCTATCCTCAATGTTCTATTCTATTCTATTCTATTCTATTCTATTCTATTCTATTCTATTCTATTCTATTCTATTCTATTCCTTATTTCATTGACCATCCTAAATTTAAACTCCATTTCTTTAAGTTTTGAATCTTATCACAGCGTTTGTGCTGTTTGCAATAAGATGGTCAGCTATCATGCTTTCATCAGTGGTGGGATTCAAAAAAAAATTACTTACCAGTTCTGTGGACGTTGCTTGGTGGGCGTGGTGTTGCTTGGTGGGCGTGGCTTGGTGGGCGTGGCATGGGAAGGATACTGCAACATCTCCATTCCCTCCCCACTCCACTAACCTGCTTTCCAGCTCCGTTCTCCTGTGCAGGGCAACCAAAGAAGACCCAGCCAATCAGCTGGGACTCAATGGGAGGCAGAGAATAGATGGGGGCGGGGCCAGTCAGAGGTGGGGTTTGCCGGTTCTCCAAACTACTCAAAATTTCTGCTACTGGTTCTCCAGAACTGGTCAGAACCTGCTGAATTCACCACCTCTGGCTTTCATGCTTTTGAATGCTCTTGAAGATACTATTTTTTTTTTAAAAGAAAGCGTTCGCCAAGAGGTAGAAATAATCTATAAAAATGCAATATTGTCTGAACCACGCTGAGACTTCTATTTAAATATCACCCCCTGAGAATGATAAGGCAGGGGCTGTTGAATTTAGGAATTGATTTTGCTGTGGGTCAGGCTGCACTTCCTCGCTCTTTAAGGCAATAGGTTAAGTGGACCCAGCGTTTAATATTTTTCCTTGATTCCTGTTATTTTCTAGGTTCCTGGAGATCTCAGTCAAACCTCTGAAGATCAAAGCCTGTCAGATTTTGAAATGTAAGTTGTTCGAAAGGTTGATGTGTTTATCTCATTCCCACAAGGACTTCAAAAGAGTGATTTTTGAAGTAAAATGTTTCATAACGCAGGATTCTTTCTGTTGTGGGAATGTATTCCCCACCTTGTAACATAACCACAGCGTTCTTGATTTGGTTCCTTATTCCAAGTACTTTGATTATTGGCAGCGTCTACCAATGGAGTTTGTCTTAGGGCCTGTTTGTACTTCTGTGCAAGATTGTATGTATTGACTTGTTTATTTATTTATTTTGTCATCCAGATCAAACCGAGCCCTTATAAACGTCTGGATTCCTTCAGTCTTTCTCCGTGGGAAAGCAGCAAATGCATTTCATGTTTATCAAGTAAGCATTCTGTTCAATGAGGGTATATTGGGTGACTATCATTATCTTAGCTTGGACATCTCTGTTGTGGTTCACCAGCAGCCGGTGCAGCCGGCAGCGGAAACAGACAGTGGGGAAGAACGGGGACCACTCTAGGAGTCTGGAGAGGACTCGGATGAGGGTCCTGCATCCGATGCAGAGATGGGGCCAGGACCATCTGGGAGTGGGGTGCTGACTCCAGAGCCTTTGGAGTCTGGCAGCAGAGAGGCAGAAGAACAAGGGGAGCCTGTTCGCAGTGCATGTGTGTGTGCAGAGCTGCTAGAAGGCGAGAGCAGCTGAGAGAAAAGGGGCGACTCAGGAGTAAGGCTGCGAGGTGATTGCCCCTCCCATAAGGTATAAAGGTCCGGCCAAGATGACAAAACCTTTGCAGGAAGCAAAGTATTTCGATCGGTTCAGAGTCATTCTTGAAACTCTTTGTACTTCAGTTGGATTTTTTTTGTACTTTGGTTGGGTTTTTTTCCTAGTTTATTTGATACTTCTGTTTCTGGCAGAACTTCATAGAACAGAAAGGTGGGTGCTTATGAATAGAATGAATAGAAGATAGGATAATATAGGAATAGAATAGAATAGAATAGAATAGAATAGAATAGAATAGAATAGAATAGAATAGAATAGAAATAGAATGGAATTCTTTATTGGCCAAGTGTGATTGGACACACAAGGAATTTGTCTTGGTGCAAATGTCTCAGTGTCCATAAAAGAAAAGATACATTTGTCAAGAGTCAAGAATCACAAGGTACAACACTTAATGATAGTCATAAGGTACAATAAACAATCAAATCATACTAGGAAATAGTCAATATAAATCGTAAAGACACAAGCGACACAGTTACAGTCATACAGTCACAAGCGGGAGGGAATGGGTGATAAGGAGTGATGAGAAGATTAATAGTAATAGTAGTGCAGACTTTGTAAATAATTGGACAATGTTGAGGGAATTATTCGTTTAGCAGAGTGATGGCGTTTGGGGAAAAACGGTCCTTGTGTCTAGTTGGTGTGGTGTGCAGTGCCCTATAGCGTCATTTTGAGGGTAGGAGTTGAAACAGTTTATGTGATAACTTTGAAAAGGAAAGCCTCTTCCAGCCACCCTCTATTTGTCGTTTATTTTTCCACATTTAAACCAAAATACTTTGCTGGTAGTTAAGCAGGGAAAAAAAACATATGCGCCAGCATATTCCATTGCTTTGCAATTATCTTCTTTTAATGAGGCAAGAACGCATTTAGTATTTGCGACTTGGCAAGCTGTCATCCTTTGGTCACCAATGAGAAGAGGGAGGGGAAATGTTTGCTTCCTTTCCTCGTGCGTGTTGCCACATTGTTTGTCTACGGAAATGACAGTGTGCAAATTGTTTTGCAAGCACTTGGAAATAAGCTGACTTTAAGCCCAGGGAAGACACTTGGCATTTTCAAGCCCTTGCTTTGACCCAGACATCAAAGTCATCCCCTGGTCTTCCAGCCAGAAGATTATCAGCTGATACATAAGTCTGCCATTTTGGGGGGGTTGCTTTGAAATTGGATGTATTACTAGAAGGTATTACTAGAAATCCAGGGTATTAAAATGGATCATGGTTGGGCTCCTTGGCTTTGATTGAGTGTATTGTTTAGGGCCGTCATTATAATCCGTAAACAATGATTGAAAGGTTGTTTATGTGTTGTGCGATTGCAGCCATTTAATAAATCTTGGCTTGGTTGGTATATAAAATTCAGCGAATATGGATAATCTCTATATGCCATGTGGCCTTCAATCTGGTTTATATGTTGTCTGTGATCATTAAACCAAGAGCTGCTTAATTATGATTTGTGAAGGAAGACAAAATTGATTCAGTTCTCCAAACACTGTCAGAACTCAGAGTTTATAAGCTACAGTGGCTAAGCTCTACAGCCCAATAAGCCCAAATCAAAGAAATCATGTATTGGCTTGGTGGCATACAAAGCACTAAGGACCAATAGGCTGGCATCTTCTCTGTATCTTTGGATGTTGGATTTTTTTCCGAGCCAATATTTGCTCTGTTTCTGTTGTTCCTGGTGACTGGCCATTAAGAACATTTCTTGGACTTGTTTTGCGGTGAATCAAAGGTTTTTATTGAACTTTTTTGGAGAGACACTTCAAAGTTTCATTTGCAACTAACCTCTAGGTGGTGATATCTACCAGAAGCCTCCTTAATGTTTTGGCAGCAACCAAATAATTCTTGTGGACATATCTGTGTTTATAGTCTCATTTGCCTCTGAGTCAGGTCTCACCTCCTCCGCAAATCTTCCACAGACACTATAGTAAATTTAATAGTCTCCTTCAGTGGGCAGGTGTTGACATATCAAACATTGATAAATTATTGGGAACATAGACACTCTTTGTAATATTGTTTGAGGGAGGATTTTATACAGTAACTGTTACACTAAAGTTGCATTGGAAAGGTATACAATTTTTTTTACAAGTATATGTGTAGCGCAGATGGGAATAATTCCTAATATCAGTGCTAAATTTCTCTAATTAGCATAGCTGAATGAGTTACTTTGTCTGTAAATTTAGCAGCTGTGGTGTAGCACTGTTAAGTACAAATGACACGAAGCATTTGAACTTTCTGTAAAAGTAGTCCTTGATTTGTGTCCACAATTGGAACCAAAATTTCCATTGTTAAGTGAGTTGTGCTTGATTTTACAGCTGTGATTGGTAAGCGAATCACAGCAGTTGTTAAGTGAATCACATGGTTGTTAAGCAAATCTGGCTTCCTCCATTGACTTGGCTTCTTGGAAACTGGTTGGGAAGCTCGCAAATGATGATCCCATGAATCCAGGACACTGCCACCATACATGATAGTTGCCAAGCATCCTTTGATTATATAATGTGGGGATGCTGCAATGGTCGTAAGTGTGAGGATTGGTCAAAAGTCACTTTTTCCAGTGCCGTTATAACTTCAAATGGCAGATAAACCAATGGTCGTAAGTCCAGGACTACCTGATATCTAAGCTGAAGTCACGCTGAAGCTTCAGTACCCTGGACAGCACCAGGTCTAAAATTGTGGAAGGGTGGAGATGAACTGGCTAATTCAGCCAGACAACCTTGAGTTTAATTCTGACTTCAGTTATTCTTCTTTTTCATATTTTGAATGGCTCAAGCCTGGCTTGGATTTCAAATGTTTTCTTCCCGGGTATGGGCACTAGGAAGAAATCTTCCTTGGTAATCTTGCAGGTCAGCAAACAGATGATTGTGCTGTAGATTGTGCAGTTTTGACTAGGGTTGTGGCTCCAGCTAGAAACCAGGAGACTGAATTCTAGTCCTGCCTTAGGCATGAAAGCTGGCTGGGTGACACTAACCCAATCACCAGGAGATGGTGACTTCTAGACTTGCTTTAGGCATCAAAGCTGGCTGGGTGACACTAACCCAATCACCAGGAGATGGTGACTTCTAGACTTGCTTTAGGCATCAAAACTAGTGGACTAATCTGGATCGAGTCACTGTCTCTCAGCCTAACTCACTTCTCAGGATTGTTGTTGTGGGAAAAGTAGCAATAGCGATAGCACTTTGACGTAGATACTGCTTCACAGTGTTTTATGGCCCTCTCTAAGCTATTTGCAGAGTCAGCTTTATTGCCTCCAACAATCTGGGTCCTCATTTTACCCACCTCGGGAAGCTGGAAGGCTGAGTCCACCTTGAGCCAGTCAGGATCAAACTCCTGGCAGTGGGCAGAGTTAGCCTACAATATAGCATTCTAACCACTGTGCTCACAGTAGGTGAAGGAGGCTGTATTGGATATGTTCTCTGCCTTGAGTAATTTGTAAACATAATAAAGGTGGGAAATAAATAAATACAGATAGTCCTCAATTTACAATAGTTCGTTTAGTGAGTGTTTGAAGTTGCAACGGCATTGAAAAAGGTGACTTAGGACTGTTTTTCACACTTATGACCTTTGCAGTATCCCCATGATGATGCAAATACTTGCATGACTAGTCTAGTGAAGAGAAGGACAGGGGACAAAGGATAGCAGTGTTCCAATATTTGAGGGGTTGCCACAGAGAGGAGGAAGGGGTCAAGCTATTTTCTAAAGCGCCTGTAGGCCAAACAAGGAACAATGGATGGAAACTGAGCAAGGAGAGATTCAACCTGGAAATAAGGAGGAATGAGTGAGAACGATCAACCCATGGAACAGAAGTTGCCTTCAGAAATTGTGGGAGCTTCATCCCTGGAGGCTTTCAAGAAGAGACTGGACCGCCAACGGTCAGAAATGGTGTAGGGTCTCCTGCTTGGGCGGGGGGGGGGGGTTGGACTAGATGACCTATAAGGTCCCTTCCCACTCTGTTATTCTGTCCTGTTCTAATTCACAGTTCTGCAAAAAGTACCAGAGGCACCTGTGATTCTGGGAAAGTCGAAATGTATCATCCCCTGTTAGTTTCTGGTTTAGGTTAACAGCAAATTAAAAAAAGGGGAGGAAAACAGCACCCTTGTAGCTTTTAAGAACATAATTAACATATAAATTAAATAATACAGGTGTGAGAATGCAACCTTATCCAATGCCTGGAGAGATGAAAATAGGATCTGTTAACTGTTCACTGATCCTCCACCCCAATTTTGCATTTAAATACAAATCCCTTTTTTTTAAAAAAGAAGGCTTCAACAGGAATAAGGTTCCTTAGAAAACGCTTTAAAAAAAAAACGCTCCACAGATCTACAGAGTTTGAATAAAACTGTTTTGTCAGCAAACAAGAGTTTTCCCTACCCTCCTGGGACCTTGTACTATAACTCGCATAATTTCAAGCCAGGGTGGCTATCGAAGAATCAGAAAAAAAGCATGCGGAAATAAAGGGCAGGGTTTTATTTCTTTATTCACATCTTGCCTTTATTGTTTTAATAAATAACTTAAGGTACTAAACCTATGTAATACTCCTTTCTCCAACTATCTTTTATCGTACAACAACCTCGTGAAATCAGGTGGACTCAGAGAAAAGGATTGGCCCAAAGCCACCCA